AAGATAGGCAAGGAAGGAAGAGTATTTGTATTATTAGAGTCCCTGAGGAAGAAAAACATCAATGGAACAGAATTAATATTTAAAACTATAAACAAGAAAACTTTTCTGAATTAATAACAACAAAAAGACCTAAATCTGTATAACCAAAGGATGTATCAGACACCTGGGAAAATTAACTCAGAATCATTAACTCTGAGATATTTTCTAGTAAAATGATTAGATTTTAAAAATGAAGAAAAAATCTTCAAGGTCTTTAGGCAAAAAAAAAAAAAAAAAAAAAATCAAGTAACTTACAAAGGGAATACAATTATTGTCATTAGACTTTTAAAAAACAATGCAAGGCAACAATGGAACAGTATTTAAAAAATACTTAATAAAAGAAAGTGTGAAGCAAGGATTTTATATCCAGCCAAGCTGTCCTTCAAATAAATAACTCACAACATGAAAGAACTTAAGGAATTCTGAGTCTATTGGAGGATGAGCTCCTTCAGACTAAGAGATGACTAGAAAACCTCAGCACAGGGACTGATGGTGAGTGTGTGTGTACACACACTAAAAACAAATGTGGAGATGGGAGTGGAACATTAGAGTGCAAATATTATATGTTTTCAGAATGTACAAATGCACAACCGAAAAATGGGAGGAAAAAGGAGGCAGAGGAAAATAATCTCGCTGACTGTTATATAGGAAATGGAGAGTTTCCATTTCCTCCATTACCAATGGGAGTTAAAGGGTATCAAATAAAAATGGATAAACCAGATATTAAAAGGTTAAGTAATAAATTAGAGGACTAAGGGCATTAAAATAGTTTAGGAGCACAAAGGTAACACCTAGAACAAAAACACAACTCTTCCTAAGTTAAAACAAAATTGAAGTTAAAGACCAAATAATACATATCTTGTAGAAAAAGAAGCATAGCAAATATAACAAAATATACATAATTACAAAATGTTATGACAGACTAAACGTAGCAACCATATCAATAAATATCAATGGGCTTAACTCACCTATTAGAAAAAAAAGATTTTCAATTTGGCACAAATCAAGACAAACTAAATGCTGTATATAAGAGGCACACCTAAAACAAAGGGATTCCAAAAGGTTAAAACAAAGAGATGGACACATGCTTACTAGACAAATGGAAAAATTAAAAAGCAGGGGGTAGTGGTCCAGATAACAAAGTAGAATCCAAGTCCTCAAAACATTAAGTATGTCAGAGCAGGGTACCTTTTAATGCTATAAGTCACAATTCATAGAGAAGGTAGAATACTTTTTCTACATACCAAACAACAGGGCAACTATCTTTATGAAATAAAACTGCAAGAGTTGGAAGGATACATGGATAGAAACACAGTAATGTTTCTTTAGTGAGACTTTAACGAACGCTCCGTACAAGACAGATCAAGAGGACAGAAAAATTAATTAAGGATGTAGAAAACTCAAACAACACTATAAGGAAACCTATGGATACACAGGCACACCTCGTTTTATCGTGCTTGACTTTATTGTCTTTTGCAGATGTGATTCTTTACAAATTGAAGGTTTGTGGCAACCCTGTGTTGAGCAAGTCTATTGGCACCATTTTTCCAACAGCGTGTGCTCACTTTGTGTCTCTCTGTCACATTTTGGCAATGTTTACAATATTTCAAACTTTTTCAAGATTATTATATCTGGTATGGCGGACTGTGATCAGTGACCTTTGATGTTACTACTGTAATTGTTTTGGGGCACCATGAACCGCACCCACATAAGATGCCAAAGTTGACCAATAAATGTGTGTGTTCTGACTGCTCCACACGCTGGCCATTCCTGTCTCTGTCTCTCTCCCTGTCCTCCCGTCTCCCTATTCCCTGAGGCACAACAATATGGAAATTAGGCCAGTTAATAACCCTACAATGGCCTCTGAGTGTTCAAGTGAAAGGAAGAGTCATATATCTCTCACTTTAAATAAAAAACTAGAAATAATTAAGCTCGGCGAAGAAGGCATGTCGAAAGGTGAGACAGGCCAAAGCGAGGCCTCTTGGGCCAAACAGCCAAGTGTGAATGCAAAGAGAAAGTTCTTGAAGGAAATGAAAAGTGCTACACATGAACAATAAGAAAGTGAAAACAGCCTTATGCTGACATGGAGAAAATTTCAGTGATCTGGGTAGAAGACAAAACCAGCCACAACATTCTCTTAAGCCAAAAATTAATCCAGAGAAAAGCCCTAACTCTTTTCAATTCTATGAAGGCTGAGAGTGGTGAGGAAGCTACAGAAGCTAGAAGCTAGCAGAGGTCGATGCATAAAATTTAAGGAAAGAAGCCGTCTCCGGGACACACAGGTGCAAAATGAAGCAGCAAGTGCTGATGTAGAAGCTGCCGCAAGTTATCTAGAAGACGTAGCTAAGATCATTGATGAAGGTGGCTGCATTAAAAAACAGATATTCAATGTTCTTCCTTCTACTGGAAGAAAATGCCATCTAGACTTTCATAGCTGGAGAGGAGAAATCAGTGCCTGGCTTCAAAGCTTCCAAGGACAGACTCTGTTATCAGGAGCTAATGCAGCTGGTGACTTTAAGTTGAAGCCAATGCTCATCTACCATTCCAAAAGTCCTAGCGCCCTTAGGAATGATGCTAAATCTACTCTGCCTGTGCCCTAGAAATGGAACAACAAAGCCTGGATGATAGCACCTCTGTTTACAGCATGGTTTCCTAAGTATTTTAAGCCCACTGATGAGACCCACTACTGAGAAATGAAGATTCCTTTCAAATATTACTGCTCATTGACAGTGTATCTGCTCACCCCAGAGCTCTGATGGAGATGTACAAGGAGATTATATTGTTTTCATGCCCATTAACACAACATCCATTCTGCAGCCCATGGATCAAGAAGTCATTTCATAAGGCTACAGCTGCCGTAGATGGTGATTCGTCTAATGGACCTGTGCAAATTATATTGAAAACCTTCTGGAAAGGATTCACCATTCTACATGCCATTAACAACACTCACGATTCATGAGAGGGGGTCAACATATCAACTTTAACAGGAATTTGGAAGAAGTGGATTCCAACCCTCATGGATGACTTTGACTTCAGTGGAGGAAGTCGCTGCAGATGTGGTAGAAATTGCAAGAGAACTGGAAGTAGAAATGCAGCCTGAAGATGTTCCTGAGTTGCTGCAACCTCATGATCAAACTTGAGTGGATGAGGAGTTGCTTCTTACGGATGAGCAAAGAAAGTGGTTTCTTGAGATGGAATCTACTCCTGGCGCAGATGCGGTGAACACAGTTGAAATGACATTTAGGATATTCCATAAACTTAATTGATAAAGCAGTGGCAGAGTTTGAGAGGATTGACTCCTATTTTGAAACAAGTTCCACTACGGGTAAAATGCTATTAAACATTGTCGAATGCTACAGAGAAATCTTCAGTGAAATGAAGAGTCGATGGATGTGGCAAACTTCATTGTTGCCCTATTTTAAGAAATTGCCACAGCCACCCCAACCTTTAGCAACAAGCACCCTGATCAGTCAGCAGCCATCAAAATCTAGGTAAGAACCCTCACCAGCAAAAAGATTATGACTTGCTAAAGATGATCAGTAGCGTTTTTTAGTAAGAAAATATTTTTAAAATTAAGGTATGTACATTGTTTTTTAAGATATGATGCTATTGTGTACTGAATAGACTACAGTATAGTGTAAACATAACTTTTATGTGCACTGGGAAACCAACGCCTTTGTGTGACTTGCTGTATTGTGGTGGTCTGGAACCAAACCTGCGATATCTCCGGGGTACGCCTGGATACCAAACTCTACACCTGGTAATAGAAAACACATCTTCTTCTCAAGTGCCCGTGGGACAGTCACAAAAAGTGTTTAGAAGATCAGTAAATGCCATAAAGTAGAAGTATTACAGATGACACTCGCTGATCACAGTGCAACAATGCTAGAAATTACTAACAGAAACAAAAGGGCTCCTCCACATGGAAACTGGAAATCTTCCTGGAAACAACGATTGGGCGCCAGGAGCTTGTGCGAGCCCTTTTCCTGTGGCTCCCGCGTTTTAGTGAAATAGGAGGCAAGTGTGGCAGCTGGGGGCCAGGGACCTGCGGTGTGCACAGGGTGGACCTGTGCTGGAGGAGGGAGGTGGGTGAGGACAGGTGGGGGAGGTGAGAAGTGGGCAGGCCAGTGGGCTGCAGGACCGTGGGGCCGGGAGTGAGCTGGGAGCTGGGAGGTGGCTGGAGGTGGCATGGAGATGCTGGATGCTGGAAGCTGGTGATGACCACGCGGAGGGCATGGCTGAGGGAGTGGCAGCTGGGGAGGAGGAAAAGGTGGCTGGGAGAGAGGAGACCCGGGCTCAGAGAAGTCGGGAGGAAAGGATGGCAAGATCCCCAAGAGTCCAGACAGTGGACTGAGTGAGAGGGTGTCCCTGACCAAGAGCTACCTCTTTAAGGAATGAGGGGTGACCCAGGGCGGGTGTGTGGTGGATGGGTGGCAGGTGGCATAGACCGAGGACCTAGGATTCAGAGCTGGGATTTTAGGGAGGCAGGGCCGTGAGCAGCGCTGAGGATCCTAGCCCGCTTCTTGCCCCAGGGTTCCCAGGGCTGTGGAAGAGAAGCCAGTCCTGCCTGAGAGGACGGTGGTGGCCTGTGGGGGTTGTGGGGGTCCTTGGAGGAGCAGGAAGAAGAGAATGCTGGAGGATAAGGATGAGATAGAGGGGCCTTTGCTGATGGGTGGGAGGCTCTGGTGTTGGCTGGGGTCTTGTGGGAGCATACTGGGTCCTGGGCCTCTCCTCTATCAGGTGACGGGGCGGTCGAGGCTGGGGCAGGGTGATTCATGGGGAGCACGGATAGGACAAGGGTGAGCAGTGCCTCCCCAGTGCCTGCCCCAGGAGGCGCGAGATACACGAGCAGGTGTGGGCTCCCTCCCTGCACCCAGCCTTAGGCAGCCGGGAGGGCAGAGGTCCCGAACCCTGCTTGGCAGAGAATGGAGGGGGCAGTGGGGCAAGGTGGGGCTGGGTACCTGTCCAGGGGGATGGAGAAGTCCAAGAAGGTCGCCACCAGCTCAGATGTGTGGCTCCGGGCCAGCAGGGTGATGGCGCGCAGGGTGTTTTCCTTGGCCTGGGGGATGCGCATAGAGCAAAGGCGGAGGTGGAGGGCCCGGCCCATGTTGGCCACCTGTGTGGGGAGGGGCCGGTCTGAGGGAAGGCCTGGCCTGCCCTGGGAGCCCTAATGGCGGTGGGGGTCTTTCTTGCCCTGATGAGCATGAAGCCCCTTGAGTTATGGTCCTGTCCCAAGCAGTCTGATGAGGGAGGCACTGACTGCCCTGGATGCCCAGTCTAAAGGGTGTCCCGGTCTGAGGGAGGCAGGTCCTTACAACTGTATGGCATTCGAGGTCCTCATACTCTATCTAACTGCCCAGTCACTGGAAGGTTCAGACATGGTCCCCCTGAATGTCATTCCTTTGTACCTGCTACTCCCGTGTCCAGACAGCCCCCTGCCTTCTGTGCGCCTGTCTGGCTTATCTAGACCTGGGCGCAGTATCTCTGCAGAGTCTGCCTGTTCACAGACTGGCATCAGGCAGCCTCGTGCTGGGGCACACCCTACGCAACCCCGAGTCCCCTCTTGGCCTTTGCATCTGCCATGCTGTCCTGCCAACGCCTGCTCGCGTGTCTGCCACCCCCATCAGATTGCACCTCCATGAGAGTCTGGTCTGTGTCCTCCCTTCCTCCCCACCCCGCCCCCACATCAGGGCCTGCAGCAGCTGCTGGATTGAGATGTGTGTGCCCCATGATGCTGCAGTCACCACCCAGGACCTGGGGGACTTGTGTGGGCCCTCCCTCATTCACTGATTCAAACCCCTCAGAATGGTTGCTGCCTAGGTGGGACCTGTGTCCCCTACATCATGCCCAAAGCTCTAAGCCCCCAGAGGCTGACTGCTGGGCCCACCCTCTGCCCCGGCCCTTTGCGGGTACCCCAGCGCCCTCACGGTCTGCAGCTTGGCCCCATGCTCTTGGACCACAGCAAGTAGCATCTCAGCAGCAGCCTGCACGCGGAAGGGGCTGCTGGAGCCCAGGTTCTTGATGGCTGTGCAGAGGAGGTCCTTCAGCTCCGTCATCGTGAGATGCTGTGTGATCTCCTGCAGCAGTGGGGGTGGGCAGAGCCCGTCACTCTGGGCCCCTGTGCCGGCTCCTACCTCCCCCACTTCTGTGTCACCCCTTCTCCTCTGCTGCAGCTCCCACGTCTCTGGGCACATCCAGCCCTGCGAGCACTCTCCGGGTCCCCAAGCACGTGTCCAGTGATTTTCAGCCTACCATTTCCATGTATCTCGGAGCCAACCACGGCCCAGGGCTTTTTTCCTCACTCAGACCTGCTTGTCCCGGGACCCAGGTGGCCCGGCCAGCCTCCTCCCTTCCCCTCATAGGGCTTCCTCATCTGCCAGCCTCAACCAGTGGGTGCTCCCCCGCTGCCAGCCCCTGTCCTCCTTATGAGCATTTTAACCAAAGAGAAAGTGAACTTCCTAGCTGTGAAGGATCTTCAAGGTCACCTGTACCAACCCCAGTCCCAGAAAGTGCACGAGCTGCCTTTGGCCATGGAGCAGTGTGGAGGTGGCGGGCGAGGCTGGGTCTGGGACCCAGGGCGCCTATACCTGCAGCAGCGCCACTCCAGGATGCTGAATCTGCTCTGTGCCCCAGGAGCAGCTCTCGAGGTCCAGAGAGGCGGGGTCTCACCTCCATGAGCAGACCATGAGCTGCTCAGGGGTAGTGAAGGGGCTCTCAGGGAAATGCAAAGTGGTGGTTCTGATCCCTGCCTCACAGCCTTAGACTGCAGCCTCCTGGAGGGAGGTCCTGGGCCAGGTCACTGTTGCACAGGCAGGAACCTTCTGGAAAGATTGCGAGCATTGCTGCCACCAGCCACATGTAGCTATTTAAATTTATATTTAATTAAATAACATTAAAAACTCAGTTCCTCAGTGGTACTAGCCATATTTCAAGTGCTCAGAGCTCCACGTGGGCAGTGGCTACCTTGGATAGCATAGAGGCAGAACACATCCACCCTCCCGGAAAGTCCTATTGGACAGTGCGGATTCAGCAGCTTCCAGTCAGGAGAAGTTAGGATGCTGATGCCGAGAGATAAGAGGGAAGCCTGATAGAAAACTATGCCTTTGCAAGGATGTTAGATGGTAAAATGCTCTTTGCATGTTAGGTTATTTGTTGCAATGTTTGAAAGTCTGTTACAATGTTTCTATGTATGTTACAATATAAAAATAAGTGTTAAAATGGATATATGAATATTTACTTGAATCTTACAATTCAAAAATTTGGTACAATGTGACAATGTTAGGTTATTCGTATGTTGGTTAGAATGTTAAGGTAATTTTAATGGAATCTTTGTAGTTTGTAACAACTTTGTTTTTGGAATATTAGGCTATTATAAATCTGGTTAGAACATCTGTTATAAGATTAAATTTAAAATTGTTTGTTAGAATGTTAAACTTCTGGTTAGAATTTTAGCATTTAGAATGTTTATGAAGAAATTCAACTTGGAATGGTGGTTAGACTCTTGGAATCCCAGAATACTACAACCTCAGGATTGAAAAAGATTTTTGAGGTATCTTACTTTAATCAAAGGCATGAATAAACATGAAATGGAGATGGCAGTGGTGATGGGGAGGTTGGTGTAGGGTCATAGTAATGGTGTGGTGATGATGGTGTAGTCATGGCGATGGTGTGGTAATGGTGAAGGTATTTTGTTGGTGATAGTGGTGGTGATGGTGAAGGTGTGTTGTTGGTGATGGTGGTGGTGATGGTGAAGGTGCTGTTGTTGGTGATGGTGGTTGTGATGGTGATGGTGGTGGTGGTGATGATGGTGGTGGTGATGGTGAAGGTGCTGTTGTTGATGATGGTGGTGGTGGTGGTGATGGTGGTGGTGGTGGTGATGGTGGTGGTGGTGGTGATGGTGGTGGTGGTGGTGAAGGTGCTGTTGTTGGTGATGGTGGTGGTGGTGATGATGGTGGTGGTGATGGTGAAGGTGCTGTTGTTGGTGATGGTGGTGGTGATGGTGATGGTGGTGGTGGTGGTGGTGGTGATGGTGGTGGTGGTGATGATGGTGGTGATGACAGTGATGACAGTGGTGGTGGTGGTGGTGGTGATGATGGTGGTGGTGGTGGTGGTGATGGTGATGATGATGGTGATAGCAGGGATGATGATGAAGGTATAGTGTATCTAAGACCACGCAAAGTGTCAGAGACAAACTTGGGACCAGAAACAGGCCAAAGTGTCTGTTTTCCAACCCAATCCTTCCCACATCTGCCATCCCATGATTAGCAGACCCTCTAATCCTCTCCCCTCTCATTACTCGGATCTGCCCAGGGAAAGCCCAAACCAGACAGCCATAATCTGTGTAAAGGGACCACACAGGCTGGAGCAGGCTGCCCCTTCCCAGGTCCTGGACTCTATGCTCCTTGTCACTGAGACCCCCTGAGGGCCCACGTGCTCTGAGGTCTTTCACTGCTGATCCACCCAGCTGACAGCCAGCGAAGCCCCTCCCACCCTGCCCTGCCTCTGCCCTGGCTCTTTGACATAAACTTCAGCCAAGCCAAATGCTCCCCTGCTGGGTAGAGACAATGGATGTCTTGGCCCCAGGGCTTTAGATTTTCCACACTAAACTTCTCCAGATGGGCCTCGGCACTCTGACAGCTCACTACAGCTGCCAAGCGCAGGGGTTCTGGAGTCAGCTGGGACTGGATCAAGTGCCACAGGGGCACTGACTAGCCATGTGCTGCCATTTCTTCATCATTTGGTTGAATCTGGCTCAATTTCATGGGTGTTTATTGAAGGCCAGCTCTACTATCAGGCCGTAGTGAGACCCCACCTCCAGCGGGGAGTGCTCACGGTCTCGCAGGGACCGAGAGCCAAGTACAGGGGTCTTTGTTAGCCAGGGTTCAACACCGGCCATGGACAAAGGTCACCATCTCAGAGGTGACTCTGAGGAGGCTCCATGAAGCATCGCTCCACATCCCCCTCACCCGGAGCCTCACGTTCAGAAGATAATATAATTCAAATCACAACACGAGGTGGGGGCTGCAGTGGGAGATGGGAACAGTCCAGGGAAGGTTGGAAGAGTTGAGGAAGGGGTGTGGTGATGTCTGTGAAGCCCGTGGAGGATGGCAGGCATCCAACGTGTGCTGGCTCCACTCCAACAACACAGGAGAGAGTGGGCAAGTTTATCCCTCACCTCCAGATACAGGGGTGTGCTCTGGCCACACCCCCCACCTAGCCCTGCCCACGACTCTAAGGGCTTTGACCTTGATGACTTCGGAGCTGCTGAGCTGGAAGATGGGGTCTTTCTCCTTTGGGAACGCCGTCTCTTGGGAGGGTGGAGGAGTGGCCCTCTGGTCTCCACCTCGCCAGAGTGGGGCTCCATCCTCGCTGGGTTCGGAGAGCTTCCTGGGGATCTGCGATTCTACCTGTGGGGTTTCTCCTGCTGGCCAGGGGCAGGGTGGGGTAAGAGCCGGGCAACAGTGGGCTTGGGGTGTAGCAGAGCTAGGGTAGGGTCATTTGAATCAGGGTCAGGCCTGTGCCCCAGTTTGGGGACGGGACTCAGGGTGAGGCCATTGTAGGGTTATGGTTCAGATCAGGGTTGTGTTTGTGGACAGATTTGGGGCAAGCTTGAGTCTGGGGGTGCGGTGTGGGTCTGCCTGAGGCCATGGTGGGAGATGGGTGTGCCACGGAGGCCGGGGAGGCTCACCTTTCTGGTCCATCAGGAGCTTGTAGAGATGGCCCATCCCTTCCAGGCTGGAGCACTGGGTGGCCCCGTCTGGGTCCCGGCAGAGGATCCCCAGCATGCCCACCAGCTGTCCGATCCGCTTGAAGCTCTCCTTTGGCTGCGGTGAGAGTGCAGGGAGCCACTGACAGCAAAGCGCACCCACAGAGTCCCCGCCCGCCATGCGCTCACCCCAGCACCGCTATGTCAGAAACCATCACCTCAAACTGTGTGGCAGGGCCGGGCAGGGGTCTGGGCAAAATATAAGGGGTCGCCAAAACCTCAGAAATCAAGGGAAACGATATTTTAATGCAATATTTAGGAAAATCAAAAGGAATACAAAAAACTCCAGGATGAACAAAGTCCCAACATTTTTAGCAGAGATAGGACCTGACCTGCACTTGCTAGGACCCCGCCTCGCTGGCCTTACCCTAATTCTGGCCCTGGTGCCAATAAAACTTTATTTACAAATACAAGTGACCTACCCCTGGACCATCATTTGCTGATTTGATTTTTAAAAACATCACATTAAAATATGATTTATCTTGATTACGGATTTTTTTGTGCCCCAAGGAATTTCGCTCCCAAGGCAAGTACTTCGCTTGTCGTCCCCGGGTAAGTGGTGTGGAAATGGACTTTGAGTGAACTGAAGCCACTTTGAGCCCATCCAGAGGGGTCCTCCTCCTCCTCGGAGTGCAGTGGCTTTCCCGTGACAGAACGATCCCTACAGCCCCCTTGCGCTCTGCCGCCTGCCTCCATTGGACCAGGCAGCCGGCTGGGCAGCAGGGTGAGGAACCCACTTCCTCGTCTCCCCGACCCTCCCTAAGGAGCTGATGCTGGTCTGGGCGGACAAACACTGACTCTCCGCACCTGCCGATGTTCACTCAACCCAAGGGCAACAGCCACAGGTTGGGGTTAGTGGGGACGATGAAATGGGGGGCCCACCCTGGGGCATGGGTGGGTGGGGGCATGGCAGGCCCCCATTCTGGTGCAGGTCTCACAGCCGAGGGGCCCTCTCACAGCCTCTACCTCCTCTGGCTCCCACTGCAGCCCTCTAAGGAGAAGTCATTTCCGTCCATTTTACAGGCGAGAGGTGAGAGTCTGAGGCTCCAACAGGAGAAACACCTGCCTGAGGCCTCAAGGTGTATGGACAAGAGCCCAGCCTCCTGGGTCATGGTCAGGGCCAGCTGTGAGGCCTTGAGCAGGTCCTCCCCTCTGCCCCCAGCCTCTTTTCCCCACATGGAAAGAGGGAGACTACCTGGGCGTCTGCCAGCCTGAGCCCAGAGGGGGCTGCAGGGGACTCAGGGACCCACCCTGTCCTGGAGGCAGGTGCCCAGGGCCCTTGAACCCCACGAGCCCTGGCAGGCTCTGGGAGGAGGGCGGCTCTGGTGGGCCCCTGGGCTCCAGGGTAGGGGGCCCAGCCAGTGCAGGGGTGTGGGTGTGGGGTGCCGAGCTGGGTACTCACATCCAGGTGGAGGTTGTGCCTCAGGAATTTGAGGAGGCTGGTGCAGCTGCTGACAGCCCGCTGCCGCTCATGCGCCTTTTCCGATGCCAGCCAGATGTACATGTGCTGCGGGGTGGGCAGGGGCAGGGAGTGGGCTGCGGGGCTGGTGCTGCAGCAGGGACTCTGGCGGGCCCCAGATGGCCAGGCCCCGCCCACCATCAGCCAGGCCACACCCATTGGCCCACGCCCCGCCCACCTGGGCTCCACCCTCCGGTGGGCTCTGCCCCGTGGCCTTCCCTGTCCCTCTGCCAATCCAACTGCACCCAGGCAGTACCACCACAGGAGTCCACATTTTCTCTTTTTGTAGCTCACACATCCCCTCCTGCTCAAAGCCCTTTGAGGCTCCTGGTTCTTAACCTGTTCTGTGCCATTCACCCCCTTGTGGAATAGCACTTTTCCATGCACAATATATGTGCATAGCATTACAACGGAATACAAAGGCATCTTGAAACCGTTATGTTGAATAGAGTTAAGCCAAATCTAAGCCTCTTTTTAAAGGCTATATAGGACTAGAGTTTTGGTTCTGAAGTGGGACGATGTGTATGGTATTTGGAGATTCTGTAACCCAGTGATGTCCCAGAGAAACACCTGTGACATCACTGGTGGCATCCCCTGCCACTCCTGGTACAGCTGTGGTCTGTGTCTGGCATTCCCAGGGGATGGACATGCTACCTTGCCGCTCAAGGTGAGGGACCTGCAGATGGTGTTTCCTCCTGTCTGTTTTTCCGCCCCCCGACTTCCATCTGGGCACCCCAGGTCGGGAGCCCTGCCTCATCCTCACCCAGCTGCTTGATGAGGCCCCCAAGCCTGCTGAGGTCCAGCCCCTGCTGATCAGCCCTTGCCCTAGCGTCACCCTTCCCCCCGAGTGCCGCTCCCCGCTGTGCCCTCCCCTTTCCATCACTTGGAGACCGCTCCACTCTCTTGCTGGCCTCATCTGTGCCGCTCACCTTCGCTGCCCTGCCTCTGCCTGGGGGGCCCTGCCCGTCCCTTCTCTGCCCAGCACGCCTCAGTCCTCACTCAGGGCTCTGTGGCGAAATCCTGCTGGCTTTGACCTCTGACCTTCCTGCAGAACCAGCCTCCCCTCCTTGGGCCCTGCCCCCGCCCCACCTGGCACCTTGCATCCTCACCGACAGCAGGAAGTGCAGCTCCTTGTGCGTGGGGTTCAGGGAGATGAAGCTCTGCAGCATGGCGTCCAGCGCCTCTGCGGTCTTGTTGAACAGGGTCTGCGCAGAGGTGAGGGGCGGCTGAGGCAACGCCAAGGGTGTTGAGGGGTGGACTGAGGGCCAGGGGCTGCCACAGGGCCCGAATGGTGCCCACCGCCTGCACACACCAGGCCACCCCTCATCAGAGCTCACCCCCCTGCCCACAAAGGGGCCGTCATGTTCCCCATTAGGCAGACGCGGACACTGGGCAGGCAGGCTGTGCGGGACCACCAAGGGGCACGGATTTCTCAGTGGCCCAGGCGAGTTCTTTCCCAGCAGGGCTGGCTTCAAGGGCGGGTGACGAGGGCAGTCCCTCAGGGTCCTGGGCTCAGAAGGGCCCTGCACTGGGTTAATGCTCTGCCGTCGCCATCTGGAAATCCTTAGCAAGTTTTAAACAAGGGCTGTCGTTTTAATTTGCACTGGGCCCTGCAAGTGATGTGGCCGGCTCTGGTTGCTGGTCTGACACCCCAGGTCCCCAATCTTTACTGGTTTGCTTGCCACATGTGTTCAGGGAGGGAGGGGACCTCAGAAATACTCCCATCTACCCTCCCATCCAGGCCCCACCTGGAGCAGAGCCCTGGGGCTCAGGCCGCTCCCTGTCTGGGTGCCCTGGGAACTCGCTTGCCCTCTCTGAGCCGCTTCTCTCACCTGAGAAGAGCATGAAGCCAGCCCCCCTGTGGGGTGGAGGCCGGCAGTGGGTGGGAGTGAGCAGGAGCCCCGGTCCCTGCTTCTAGTTCCCAGTGCTGGAACCCCTGGCACCGGTGGCGCTCTCTGGGTGAGCTAGCCGCAGCGTCACTGTGTTAGTTGGTCATGGGGCACTCTGGACTTCTGTGGGGTTGGGGTGGGGGCAGACACTACCCTTCTGGAGGGCTGTGGCTGTGGTGTTGTCCTGGGCCCAGGGGGCCCCTCTCTCACCCCCCATCCAAAGTGCTTATCTGTCCAGTTCCAGCTTGGACCTAGCCTGGGGGGCACGTGTGGGGTTCAAATCCTGACCCTCCCACCAGACAGCTTCATTTCCCTGAGCCGGTTTCCTCACCCTTGGGTCACTACCGGGAAGGTGATGTAAAGTATCTAGAGGGGCCGGCACATAGTAGAAGCTCAGTTAATATCAGCTGCCCTGCCCTTGCCGCAGGCACTCAGAAGATGGGTGTGGAGACTGCACCCGTGAGCCATACGCGCCCCCTGGTGGTGACAACGTGGGCGGCTGGCCAGGGGCGCTGACGGCAATTCCAGAGCTCCTTCCTCCAGCCTCCTGGGGGTCAGGGTGGGCTGGGCGAGGCCTGGGCAGGGGATGACCAGCTTGAGTAGCTGCATGGTGAGACTGAGCCCACCCTCAGGGAAGGTGACTTGCCCCAGGTATTGCAAGGACTTCGTGGCTAAGTTGGGTCTCTTGGACCCCTATGAGATTGGGGAACTCATCCCTTAGAGAGAGTTATCTCCCCTCCTCTCTGCTTCCCTTGGGCTGCTGGGGAGCTTGGAGGAAAACTCCAGCCCGGTCTGCCATGTAGCATGTTGGTGGAGACCTGCAGGGCTGAGCAGCACAACTTGCTCTCAGGTCGGCAGAGGGAGGGAGGCCACGCATACTGCCACGTACGGAGCACCCCTCCCCACCAGGCACTGCTCCCAGCGGCTCATTTCAGCAGCCTGGTGTTCAGTGCCGTCAGTTCTATTGGCACCATCCCCGTCACAGGTGGGCAAACACGCAAGTGCTCAAAGCAGCTGAAAAACTGCCCAGGGTCCCCCAGCCTGGGGTGTGGGGTGATGGCAGGGACCCTGCCGGTCCAGCCTGCCCCGCCCAAGCTGTGAGCAGCAGGCAGAGCTCGGCGCCCTGCTAGAGCGGCCTCTCTTGGCTCAGGGTGCAGGTGCCAGGGGCCGCACCTCTATGTTGGGCGGCTCCAGAAAGAGGCAGGTGTGTTTCTCCAGGGCTTCCAGTGGTGGCAGAGCAAACACGCTGCGGAAGCAGGTGGAGAGCAGCTGCGATTTCTTTTGCGAGTCCAGGGGTGGCCTCAGCTTACTGTTGGGCAGACAGAGGGTGGTGAGCCTGGGGGCTGAGGACTGGGGAGGGGCCCGTGAAACCAGCCCGTGAGCCCCAGGCAGCGCCTGCCTTCGTCCCGTCCAGCAGACTCCCAGCCTTCCGCTGTGCACGGGGATGCTGCGCACGCGCCCGCCTCCCCGGCCTCTCCCTGCCTCTGCGGTGAGCTCCTGGCCCACTTCTCCTTTCGGTCCCTGGCCTCGAATAGCTCCTGGGTGCCGATGACCCCGACTGTGTGTCTCCAGCCTGGGCTTTGCCCCTGAACTCCAGGCTCACATCACCAGCTGCCCACTGCTTCTCGCCTGATGTCTAAGCAGCGTCCCAACCTCGGCCCAGACCACAGCGGATGGCCATGCCATCCTTCTCGCGGCTTGGCGCACAGGCCATGGCACCTTCTCGATTCCTTTCCCTCCCTCACGGGCTGCGTTCAGTCCTCCAGCAGGTCTTGACACTCCACTTCACAATTTATCCAGGACTTAAGGACTTCTTACTATTGAGAAGATCACCTATTACCTTTCTCCTAGACTGTCCAGAACACAGGTCCTGACTGGTCCCACATTTCTTCTGCTGGAAGCACCACCTCCTCCCCACACTGAGGCCAGACACTCCTTCTCAAATGTAATGCCACCTGTGGTGGTTTGCACGACCCTCCCCACGACTCCTGGGACCTCATCCCTCAGTCCTTGCCCCTCACTCATTGCCTGAAGCTACCCCGGCCCCCTTGCTGGTCCTCCAGGAGTGCATCAGCCTCAGGGCCTTTGCACTTGCCATTCCTTCAGCTGAGCACATGCAGGGCTCACGCTCTCACCCTTTCAGGTCTTTGCCCCAAAGTCCCCTTTCAGGGCAGCCTCACGCAGCCTCAGGCTGTGTCCCAGAGCCTAGGAGAGCACCGGGCTCATGGTGGGTGCCCAGTAAATCAATATTCAGTCATCAACCAATTCTCATTGACCCAATGCTGCACCTCATCTGCCCTCAACCGTGAGGATTTTACATCCCCTCCCTGGCTCACACCCCCCACCTTGTCTTCCTTCAGTGCCTGTGTCAGTCCCTGCTATGTGTGGTTTGCTTACTGTCTGTCCCCTCTCCCTGAATGTCAGCTCTCAGAGAACTGGGACATTCCCTGCTGGTGCATGGCTGGGTCCTCAGAACCCAGAGTGGTGCCTGGCACATAGCAGGTGCTCAACTTCTGCCTCCCCCCACTTCTCTGTCCAGCCAGTGCCAAGCCTGAGCAGAGAGGCTGCTGTTGACGCGCTGGAGGGCCCTGCGCGAGGCTGGGGGCCTACCAGAGGCTGCAGATGATGCTCAGGGTCTGCTGCCGACTCTGCGTGCACAGGGCGTCCTGGGGCTCCTTCTCCATCAGAACCTGCAAGTCCCAGGTGATGGCTGAGCCACTCAGGCCTGGCCCATCCCACTTACGACACCAGATCTCATCTGCCCGAAGACCTCGGTGCCCGGCAGCCCCGGGAACCACAGCGTTTTGCTCCAGACCTTCATCCACCGGGGGGCCTCTGTGAACCGGCCCTGCCTAGAGAACCAGGGCAAAGCCACTGGAGTCAGACGGGTCTGGTCTAAGCCCCGGTTACCCCGTACTAGCTGCACGGCCTTGGGCAGGTCTCCAAACTGCTCTGAGCCTTGACTACTCATAAATAGCACGGCCTTGTTGCACGCGTGTTACACAGGAAGCAAGGCGTGCAGAGCAGTGTCTGGGGCCCTGCAGGAGTCAGGAAATGTTTTTATTGGCGTGGTTGTTGTGGTTATTGTAACCAACTGCCCAGTCACGCCTGTGTTTCCTCCACCACCCTGGGGGACCGTGGTGCCTCTAGCACCACAGCGCTAGTAACCAGTCTGGGCCCTCGACGAGGTCAGCACGTGCACAATGGGTAGCGCTGGCCTTTCTGACCTCAGCTGCACCCCCTGTGAGGTGGACGTAGCCAGCTGAGGGTCCCTGTAAGAATAAAGTGACATGGGGGACATGCAGGTGCCCCCAGGTGTGAAAGCCTGTGAGGGGCTTGGACACACTAGAAATCCGTGCCCCCACCCCTTCCCCTGTGGGGGTCTGAGGGAAGTGCCCTCCCCACCCTCCCCTGCCAGGGCCTGGCACGCACCATCAGACACTGCAGCAGCTCGGGGACCTGGGAGAACTTGTAGCTGTGGGCGCCCTCGTCCCGGCTGATGGCCGCTGTGAGCATCAGGATGGCGGTGAGGAAGCTCTGCTTCAGGGTCTCGTCCTGGCAAGAGGGGGGCCGGGGCAGCGGGGACAGCGTCAGGCACTGGAGCATGGGGGTGTGCCGGGGAAAGCGAGGGCATGGGGCCGTGACGCCGGGGCAGCAGGGGCAATGCTGGAAGGGGGTGCAGCAGAGAGCGCCAGCAGGGGGCCCACACGTGAGGGGCTGTCGTGGGGGTGTGTGCCTGGTTTTGCTTAACAATGTGAATAAGTGGAAGTGTTTAAACACTAGGAGAGTGCCCGAAAGTCTCTACAGACGTGGCAGCCCCGAGCCCCAGTGCCCGGCAGCCGTGACCTGGGGCTGCGTTGTGGCCACCCCGGGGCAGAAGTAGCCCTTCAGGGCCCTGGTAGTGACCCGGGTTGGAGGCCCCTGGAGCAGAGTGTGGAGCCAGGGGCTTGTCACCACACGACATGACAGAAGTCACCCCAGCCTGTCCATCCCCACCGCCCCCTGCCCGAAAAGGGAAAACCCATGGTTTGCTCTGAGAGGAGACATTGTTGGTGGCGGGGGTGGGGAGGGGGCCATCCTGAATGCCAGAGAACTTCAGTGGGCAGCAGGGAAGGGGGCAGCCAGGGCAGCTCTGAGGCCCTGGGAGGCCCAGAGTGCCCCGACACTGGTGTGTTGGTGAGCTTGCAGGGGCTGGGGTCCAGACTCAGTCCTGGGGGGACGCGGTAGGACACTGGGACCCTCCAGAGGGCAGCCCCGGCCCGTACCCAGGAGCTGTAGTGGAAGTAGAAGATCATCCGCGACAAGATGTTGTCCACCCAGGGGAGGATGTGGGCCCTGGCCCTGGCCGCCACCTGGCCGTACGCGAGGAGGATGGTGCTGCTGGCCCATTTCCACCGCAGGTCCTCCAAGCTCTGGCCGCGGTGGGGGGTGGTGAGGGGGCAGATAAGGAGTGTCAGGGCCCCGCGGACCCCTCCTCTGGGGAGCGGTGAGCAGAGGTCCCAGGCCCTGGCAGGGCACTGGAGGCAGGGTGTCCTGAGGGCTTAGGAGTGATGGGCTGCTACTGACCTCAGCAGGAAAACGGGGAAATGGAATTGGCTCTTTGGGGGTCGGATGGGACTTGCTAGGGCCACTTGGGTGTACGTGGGGTGCTTGGCTCTGCTGGAACCGGCCGGCGTCCAGGCCCTTACCTTCCCCTCCTTGAGGCAGACCCTTCCCCAGGCGCCCAGGGCCCATCCCTCACCCACCTCCCCGCTTCCTGATGGATGGGGCAACGTCTGGCATGCAGCCCCCTCCTTCTGTTGCTGGGGGCCTGGGAGGGTCATGCCTGACCCAGAGAGACAGACACGTGGAGCTTTGGTTCTGGGTGAGACCCAGAGAGTGAGGGGGAGGGGCCAGGTGGGTCCATAAGGGCCATTATGGCTCATTGGTGACTAGGCGCCCTCTGAGGGTTTGCCACTTGCGCTGGCTGCAGGACCTTGAAGTCTCTGGCCATGGCTGGGTTGTCAGAGGTCAGCTATGAGCAGACCCGGGGGTGGTGTGGGCGGCCACCCTCCCCTCGCTTGTCCTCGGGGCTCCCCAAGGCGCAGTCTCAGGCGCTGTTTCCTCCAGCAGGAGTTATCGGGGAGCAATGCAGAGGGGTGGGTGTGCTGCTGTCTACTGTCCATAGCGGGGCACGGGGCTACTCTCTGACCTGTGTCTCATGTTTTGGAGACGTCAGTGCCAATGGACTGGCTGATAAATTCACAGCACCGTCATAGGCGTGGCTAGGCTTGTCCTTGCTGATCCCCACTATGTGACAGGCAGTCCCCGAAAGGCCAGGGAGGGAGGAGTTATAATCCAACAGAGGGAAACTGAGGCACAGAGGGCCGCACTGCAGGTGGGTTAGAGGCGGGAGTGGAGGCCACACTCCTGACCTCGCCGCTGAAGTCCCAGCTTGGAGGCTTGAGCCTTCGTGGAAGGTGGGCGTCCTGCTGTCCCAGCCCCTTGGCAAGGTCCCTGAGGTCCCCGGGCCCGTACCTTCCGGGAGAAGCTGTGGAGGCTCCATTTGATGGGTGCGCTCCGGCCAAACTGCTCCAGGATGGCCCAGACATCGTCCAGGTGTTGGACTGCAGCCAGCCCCATGGTGAGAGCGATGCCCTGTGTGAACAGGAGGCCAGGGCCACTGATGAGGGGACCCCAGGGTCACAGGACTGGGCCCAGCCCCTCACCTGGCAGGTGTGAAAACCGAGGCCCAGACAGGGGCTGGGGACTCATCCAGGATCACAGGGCATCCACCCCTGCCCACGCCCTTTAGGACATGCCCCTCCAAGCCCAGCCCGTGGGGCCTCTCTCATGGGGCCTGGTGGGGGGCTGAGGGGAGGCAGGAGGCAGAGGCGGATCCCTGGAGGCCTGTCACCCCTCACCGCCAGCTCCAAGCAGACCCGCGCCAGGGCTAGGAGTGAGGAGATGCATGTGGGATGAAGGAAGAGGACCTAAGTTGTGGGTGAGATCAGGGATTAGTCTGTGCCCAGGGTCAGGGCTCAGGCTGTGACTAGGGTCAGAGTTTAGCCTGTGTGATCAGGGTCAAGGTTCAGTGTATGACCAAAGCCAGGAGTCAGGCTGTGACCAGGGGCAGGACCCAGGTTATGACCCAGATTGGGGCTCAGTGTGTGGCCAGGATCAGGGTTCAGTGTATGACCAGGGTCAGGATCAGGGTGTCAGCAGGGAGAAGGCTCAGTCTGTGATCGGGTTTGGGGCTCAGTGTGTGACCAGCCATCAGGCTAAGCCTGTGGCCAGGGTCAGGCAGTTGTGGGGACAGGATGGAGCCTGGGTCCTCACCTCCCTCTGCTTGGGCCACTGGTGGGACGTTTCCAGGAGAGCTCGCAGGTGTGTCTTGACCGTGGCGCCGTTCCGTTCAGCTTGAAGGATCAGCCCGTAGTAGGTGAACAGGAAGGCCTGCGGGAGGGTTCGCATCCTGTCCGGAACCTGGCCTGCCTCCGATGGGCTCCTCTGAGCAGCCTGGCCCTGCTCACTTGGCCTCCCTGGCCCCTGCAGCCACCCTCACCACCCTGCTCTGGGACTGTCCGAGCCTCTGCCTGGTGGTGCCGCAGGTGCAGCTTCAAGCCCCCTGCTTCTCTGGGGTGCACCCGTTCCTTCCCAGGGCCCCCTGCATGCTGTGTGGACAGAGCCCCTGAGCCTGTGTGTGGGGTAGTCAGGGGCTGCCTCAGGAGATGCAGGGGTCCCACCTTTTCTGGGGGCTGCTCCTGTTGAGTCTGGCTGGGCTTGGAAAGTGCCCAGAGCAGCTCCTTGGGCCACACGTCTGTGTTCAGGAACGGGACCGACTTGACGGCTATCTGTTAGCAGAGGGGGCACGGGCTGGAGCTGGCCCTTCCCCCACCCTCAGGTGGGGGTTCTAGGCCACTACCAGCCTGGCCCACTCTGGCCTCTCCAAGCCCTCACTCCATTGCTCCCTTGTCCTTTCCCTCTTCTGAGTCTCCGGCACCCAGCTCTGCTATTTGTTTGTTGGCTGTCAGGGACGGGGACCTCATTCCTCAAGATTTCCTCCCTGGAGATGTTCAAGGTGAGTCTGGAAAGCCCAGAGCCTGGAAGGCTGCAGAGTCCAGTCCCGACTGTGTCCCCAGCAGTGGCCAGGGGACAGACAGCAAGTGCCCCTCTGCAGGTGGATGCCAGGAGGCAGGACTTTGGTTCATTTGTGGCTGTATCGCCAGCACCCAGCCCAGTGCTTGGCACGTGGTGGATATTAATATTACATTGATTTTTTTCAATCGATGAATGAGAGACCAAATGAATGAATGAAATCTTCCTTTAAAATACAAGGTCCTGAGAGTTCTGTTCCTAACATCACATGATCTTATAACGATTATAAGATTTCTCTATTTTCAGTGTCCCTAGATGCCAGGATTCAACAATGCCAAGATTTTTGATCCCAAAATTTCTTTTGGGGTGGAGGACACCTCTCCTAAGTATGATCCAAACCACAAATCTTAAAAGAAAAGATTGATAAATGTGAAGATAAACATTTTAAAATTTGTTCAGCAAAATTGCTATAAATTAAATTGAAAGATTTAGCAAAGTTTTGTTTTCTGCTGTTGCCTATTGCCAAGTGTTAATAGCTAATATTGCCGAATGATAAACAGGGAACACTTTATAAATCAATAATCAAAAGACAATTCATTTTAGAATGATGAAAGGACATACACATGATGAGGATACTATAAACTCAAACTTGCTGCTATTTAAGAAGTAGAAATTAAGGTTATACATCATTTTGGCCAAGATGGGCAAAAAGTAAAACACTGAATATCAGCGGGGAAGCGGTCTTTGGTGGGAGGGTGATTGGATCTACATTTTTTTGAAGGTTTTCACAATATCAATTGAAAGGCAACATCAATACCAATTACAGTTTAAAATATGCACACATTTCCCCAAGCAACTCCATTTCTAGAAATTTATCCTGAAGAAATACTAAAAATTTGCTGTGAACACAAGGCATGCCTCGTTGGGCGTAAGACCACCCTTTAGAGCACTCTCTCCCTGGCCTTGAGTCCTTGGTCCCTAAGTGGAAATTGCTCCCCACTTATGGAAGAACCTGGGCAAGCCTGTCTGCCCCTCTCCTGGCCCATTCATAGGATACGGGGGTGCAGCAGGACCTGGGCGGCCCTCTCACCTGCAGCCCCACGCGACCCTGGCCTCCAGGAAGCCCTGAGTTTCCCCAGAAGCGCCGGGACTCCTGTCCCCTCCCCCAAACCTTGACGGTCCTTGTTCACTGCTGTCTGCACCAGCACCCCAGCTCCTTGTCTGAAATCCAAATTCCCAAACTCAGAAAATTAAACATTTTTTCCCTATAGCTTTGCAGCAACCTCATTGGCTGGCAAAAGCTGACCCAAAGTGACATGACACGATTTATGGGACTTAGTGTGAATCCTTTTGTATGTTTCTGTAGCAGAAATATTAACATAGTTGATGCTGCAGCTGCCCTAGGCCCTGCTAAGGGTGTTCATGGAATATACAGGGTGGGCACCGTATTGCTTTTAAAAAATCTAAACTAGTCTGAATTTTGTAACACATCTCTTCCCAAAATTTTTAATTGTTTTAAACATTTTGAAAATCGAGGTGGACTTAACTGTAGTGAAATGCACAGATCTTTACTGTGCAGCTCATGAATTTTAAAAAATGTTAGACCCCTGTAATTCACACCCCATCAAAATGTTAGAGCATTCGCCACCCCCTGGGAAGCACTCTCATGCTCCTTCTTAGTTAATCTCCTTCACCACAAAACTGTTTTGATTTATTTCGCTATAGATTAGTTTTGCCGTTTCTGGAGTTGCACATAACTGGAATTATGCAGAATGTGACTTTGTCTGTCTGGTGTCTGTTTTCCCTCAGCGCAATGTGTTTGAGATTCATCCGTGTTGTTGCGTGTATCAGAAGATCATCCTTTTTTTCTGTTTTAACTTTTATTATTTCTTTTGCTTGGTTTAGGTTTAACTTGCTCTTTCTCTAGTTTTCTGAGGTGGACGCTTAGATTATTGATTTTAGATCTTTGGGGGAGGGCACGCATTACTGTGCTTGCCACATGTTTCCAGTTGGAGGCTATGATGAATAAGGCTGCTATGAACACTTTTGCACATGTATAGGTCATTCTGTGCATGTATGTTTGGACATCTCTTGGGGAAAATACCTAAACATGGAATCGCTGGGTCATATGTTAGCTTTAGAAGAAAATGTCAATTTTCCAAAGAGGTTGCACCATTGAACCGCCCCACCAGCAGCATTCAGGCTGCTCCACCTCCTTGCCAACGTTTGGTGTTGTTATTTTTCATATGAGGTCTCTCAGGGGGTATGTAGTGGTGGCTCATTGTGGTTTCAATAGATATTTCCCTGAGGACTAAAGATGCTGATCATTTTTGCATTTGCTTATTGGTGTTCACGTGTCTTCCTTTGTGAAGTGCTTTGTGAATCTTTTGATCATTTAAAACATTGAACTATTTGTCTTTTTCTTACTGAGTTGTAAAAGTTCTTTATTTATTTTCAATTCAGTGCCTTGTCAGATACATGTACTATGGGTACCTTCTCCAAATCTGCAGCTTGCCTTTTTGTTTTCTAATGATATCAGTTGATGAGCAGATGCTTTAATTTTGATGAAATCCAACTTACCCATCTTTTTCTTTTTTATGCTGATTGCTTTCTGAGTCTTAAGAAATATTTACCTACCCCACAGTTGGCAAGATTTTCTCCTGTGCTTTCTTCTAGATGCTTTTTAGTTTTAGCTTTTACATTTAGGACCTGGTTTCATCTCTAATTAATTTTTGTGAATGGTTTGAGCTAGGCATTAAAGTTCATTTTTTTCTTATATATATGCAAATTTTCCAGGACCATTTCTTCAAAAGATTTTCCTTTCCCCATTGAATTACTTTGGCACCTTAAAAAAAATCAATCGGCTGTATAAGTGTGGTTTTATATTGGATTTTCTATTCTGTTCCACTGATTTATTTGTTTAAACTATGCCAGTGCCTCACTGTCCTGTTTACTGTAGCCCTACCTTGAAATCAAGTAGTAGACTTCTTATAACTTTGTTCTTTTTCACAATTGTTTTGGTCATTCTAAGCTCTTTAAAATTTCTACATAAAATTTTAATCTATAGGTTATATTTAATTCTACTATAAAGTCTTCTGAGATTTTGACTGGCATTGCATTCAATCTACGAATCAATTTTGGGAGAATTGACATCTTACCACTATTGAATCTTCTTATTCACAAACATCTTATTGTCTCCATTTTTAAGGTTTTCTTTAATTTCTCTTTACAATGCTTTGTAAAGATATTGCACATATTTTGTTATATTTATCTTTACATCTTCCATATCTTTATTGCTGTCGTTTTCTAGAAAATTTCCATTTTCCAATTTTTTGTCACTAGTATATAGAAATTCAGTTAAATTTTGTACATTGATCTTTTATCTTGAGATCTTGCTAAATTCAATTATTAGTAATTATTAGTTCCAATATTTTTAAGATTCTGTAAGATTTTCTATGTATGCAGTCATATTGTCTGCAAAAAAAGTTTTACTTTTTTGGTTGCAGTCTGTATGTCTTTTTTCTTCTTCTCCTTTTTCTCACCTCGCTGAGTTGGCTAGAAGCATCAGTGCGATGTGGACCGGCAGTGGAGAGATTGGACATCTTTGCCTGATTCCTGATCTTAGTGGTAGTGTTCAGTCTTTGATCACTGAATGTGTTAGCTGTAGGTTTAGATGTTCTTTGTCAAGCTGAGGCCGTTTCCTCCTATTCCTAGTTTGTTGAGAGCCTTTATCATGAATAGATTTTGAATTCTGTCAAATACTTTTTCTACATAATTTTTCATAAAAATGATAAAAATATTTCTACTTTATTCTGTTATTGTGTTGAATTGCACTTACTGCGTTTCAAATGTTAAACTGACCTCGAGTCCCTGGGATAAACGCTACTTGATCATGATATATTATCCTTTTATTCAATTTGCTGATATTTTGTTTAAAAGATTTTTTGAGTTTATCTTCATGAAAGATATTGGTCTTTAGTTTGCCTTTTTTGGGTAACATCTTTGGTTTTGTTATCAGGGCTGTGCTGGGCTCATATATGATTTGGGAAGTGTTTCTTCCTCTTTTATTTTCTTAAAGGAATTTGTGTAGAATTGGTATTATTTCTTCTTTAACTTTTTTTTCTTTTTAGAGACAGGGTCTTGCTCTGTAGAGTACAGTGGCATCATCATAGCTCACTGCAGTCTCCAACTCCTGGGCTCAAGTGATCCTCCCACCTCAGGCTCCCAAGTAGCTGGGGCTACAGGCATGTGCCACACTTCCTTAAATTTTTGATAGAATTCATCAATGAAGTGTCTGGGCTTGGAGTCTAAAGATGTCATGTTGTTCCTTATTCCTTTCTGAGTTGGTATTTTGTGTTTTCTCTCTTCTTGATCAGTCTAGGGAGGGTTTATCTATTTGTTGAATTTTCGGTGAACCTACTTTGATTTTATTCATTCTCTATTGTTTGTCCTTTTTTTTTATTTCTTTGATTTTTGCTCTAGTTTTTATTTCCTTCCTTTTATTTACTTTGGGTTTAATTTGCTCTTTTTTGGGATAACCTCTTAAAATGGAGGCTTAGATAATTGATTTTATCTCTCTTCTTTTCCAACATAGGCATCAAAATTTCCTTCTAAGCGTTGCTTTCTGTTGTATCCCACAAATTTTCGTGTGTTGTGTTTTCATTATCATTTGGTTCAAAATATTTTCTAATTTTTCTTGTGATTTCTTTTTTGACCCACGGGTTATTTAGAAGTATGACGTTTGATTTCTCAGCATTTGGAGTTTTTCCAGATATATCTAATATTGAACTCTAATTTATGTTTTGGTCAGAGAATGTACTCTGTTTGACTTCAGTCCTTTTAAATTTATTGAAACATGATATATGGCCCAGCATATGGTCTATCTTGGTGAATGTTCTATTTGCATTTTATTAGATCAATTTGGCTAATTGTACTGTTCCAGTTTTCTATATCCGCAGTAATTTTGTGTCTTAGTCTATCAATTATTTATATTGCTGTTGCTGCTGCTACTAGGCACCATTCGATTACGACCGTTCTGCTGCTGCTCCTGCTACAGCCATTACTATGCGATGACAGTAACTGACATTCAGCGAAGGCTTCCTGTGTACTGGGCGCCATGCCAAACACTTCGCATGGGCTATTTCCTGCAATCTTCACAACCACCATTTGGATGAAGTCCTTTCACTCCCCTTTGACAGGTGAGAAAACTGAGGTACAGTGAGGCAAAGTAGGTCACCCCAAGGCGCACAGACCCAGGTCTGCCAGGGCCTCATGTCCCTTCTCTCAGCCAGGCAGGTCCTTCCTCTGGTGTGCACAGAGATGGGCCTGCGCTGACCCCGCTTCTTGGCCGTGGCATCCTCAGTCCACCCGACCTGCTTCCTTCCTCCCCTGGTTTCAGCCTGGGCCTCTGCATCCTCTCTGGTGCCCCGGTTGCAGGTCCAGCTCACAGGATGGGTGGGAAGGTCCCATGTGTGCTGGACACCTGCTCTGTGCAAGGCGTCTAGAGACCAAGGTTCAAATCCCACCTGCCCCAGTGACCAGCCCTGCTGGCCAAGTCATGTCATCTCCCCGAGCTCGTCTGTCTGTTCATGTATATGGTGGGGACCCTCCCTCCCTCCCCACTCCCTCGCTTTCCCCGTCTCCCTCCCTCTCTGTTCCTTCCCTCCCTTTCCTCTCCCCTCTTCTCCCCACTGCAGCAGGTGCCTGTCCACATTGGCTTGCTCCCCCCACCCCTGGCTTGTGACTGGGCTCCCCCTACCTGGGTCAGCTGCTCTTCCCAGCTCGCCTTGTCTTCCTCGTTGAACAGCTCCTCTGGGGGCGAGAGGGGTGGGTTACAGGGGCAGGTCTGACATCCCCAGCCAGGGCTGGATCTCTGGCCCCATCTCCCCACCTCCCCATCCTTAGACATTGACCAGAGTCGGGCTGAAACTGTGCTGCCTCTGCCCGTCCTGCTCACGGGGGAAGTGAGCTGGAGGGATGTGAATCCAGCTTGGGTGCAGGGTCCAGAGCTGGGCTGGAGTCATGGCTCTGCTGCCTTTGCTGTGTGACTCTGGGCAGGTTATGTTCCCTCTCTGGCGCTCCCCAGTGTGAGCGGAAGGGCCCCTCCAAACATGGCCCCTTGGGATATGCTGGGGTCCCCTCAAGAATGGGAAAATAAAGCTTGGGGTGGGAGACATGGTGAGACTGGAAAGCTTTTTGGGGGCTTTGGAACTCCCACCTCAGAGGGAGGGGCTGCTTTGGGGATGGTCCTGGGGGTCTCAGAGGTCACCCCAGGTGCAGAGGGACCTCCACCCAGCCTGCCCATCCCAGGGCAGAACCAAGCCAAGCTGGATCCTGCCTTGGCCCAGGCCTTAGAGTCCAGGCTCCCAAGCCCAGCCTGGGAGGCCTCCCCTGCCAGCCTGGGCCTCCCTGCAAATCACAGGACCTGCTGCACCTGCTTCCTCCACTGCCCAGATCCTCACTGGCTGCTGACCAGCTCCTCCTGAAGGCCCTTGGAGGAGCGAGCTTCTCTGCTCGCATTGCTATGCATCCCTCCAGATGAGGCCTGTGCTGGCCACCTCCTCCAGGAAACCCTCCCTGAAGGCTTCCAGGACAGCCGATCACTCTCCTCTCTGGGCTCCTCCAGCTGCCACTGTGGCAGCCCAGCACCTCCTTGGCTAGGCAATAGTAAGCACAAAGGCACATGCTTGTGAATGAATGAGTGAATGAATGAAAGTTGGCACTTGTCTCCTTCCCTGGACTATGAGCCCCTGTGGCAGGGGCCTGGCACGTAGCAGGGGCTCAGTCAGTGTTTGCTGTCCTGCACCAGCTGGGCCCTCACCCTCCTCTATGTCCCCCGTCTTGGGTCTCGGCCCCCACCGACCAGTGCAGCCCTTCCCGCAGCTCTGAGGCAGCAGCTATTGTGAAGCAGGCCCCGGACACTACAGGCTGCCACATGCTGCAGGGTGGCCCTGGCCCATCATGCTGCCTCTCTGAGATGGGTCTCCTTGTTGTCTGGGGGAGGAGTGCTGCCTGCCTCGTGTGGCTGAGGGACAGGACAGATGTGGCAGTGGCACGTGGAGGTGCCCTGGGCCACCTCCCAGACCTTCCTAGGTTGCCCTGGTTCTGTCCAGGCCCAGCTGTTGAAATACTGACAGCAGGCGCGTGAGCCATTAGGGTGGCACTGCCGGGCTTGGTGTGGCCCTTTCCTGGGAGGTCCCAAGAGTGCCTGAGTGGTAAGGGTGGTGGGCTGTGGGTGAGAGGATGGCCTGGATAATAAACCATCTAACAGAAAGAAAGAGGAACTAACCCACAGCACAGAATTGCCCCTTCAAAGGGAAAGATCACAACACACAAAACCCGTTTGTAAGACTAACTGCCTGTGGCCTAACTCATTGTTTCTAAGAAATTTTTTAACAGCCTGGAAGAGCCCTAAGCAGACAGCAGGGGTGTGAACCCCACCTCAGCTCTCGCCAGAACCACATTCTGAGAACTTTGATAACCAGCTTTGCAGAGAGAGAAAAAATTAATGAAAGAGACAGACAGTCGTTTCACAGCTGTCAGCTGGCAGCAATCACTTTTTTACTTTTTTCTCTTTTACCCCCTAATAAAAACCCAAACCTCTTATCCTTGTAGCTGGCACATCTCCTTTCTTTTTTTGCTATATTCTGCTCTTTCTCTTTCTCCCTCCTCTCTCTCTCTCTCTCTTTCTCTCTCTCAGAGAAGTAAAATAAACTTTTACTTCTTTCTATCCTAATCTTAGTGTTGAGAATTCTTTCTCATCCCTCACCATGAGTCCCCACCCTAATGGTGGGGTCGTCAGGGCAACAGCCCATTGACCCTGTTTTGCCATCGTACGGCTGACAGATTGGCAGCCCTGCCTGGGCTCTGGGGCCTCAGCACCACCTCCTGGACCCCTCTCTGTGATGCGCCCCATCTCCCTGCTGCGAGCAGACTTACCGTCGGAGGACAGGACACCCATCACGTAGAGCACGCTGCGGTGTGGGAAGACGCCCGTCAGCAGCTCTGCCTCCAGATGCTGGGTCACGGCCCGCCATGAGTGCTTGCAGATGGCCACCAGCACGTTGCTGGCTGCGTCCTGGAATGCGTCTTCCAGCTCCTGGGCAGGGGCGGCAGGGACAGGGAGGAGAAAGTAAGAGCCAGCTTGTCCAGTGAGCCTGGTGTTTTCACAGGCTGGTCTGGCATGATAGGCAGGGCAGTTATTAGCAAGCTTTTTTTGATAGGAAACTGAGGCTGAGGGAGCCTGAGACATTCCTTGTTCTCTTATGGTTCCAGAACATTCTTCTTCCTGCTTCTGAGCCTCTACTCACCCTGTGGCCCTTCCTGGAATCCCATTCCCACTCCCTTTTTGTCCAAATGACCATTTTAGAGCCCCACAAGGCCTGGGCTCAGGACACCCATCCCACGGCTTCTAGTCAACACCCCTCCCCTCTTCCGGAGCTCCCAGCAGCTCACAACAGTGTCGCATCTTTAATTCTTTATCGCCATGAACTCAGAACCAGAGGCTGTGTTCCCGTTCATAGAGGCAGTGTCAGCTGTTCCAGGGCAGAGCCCAGCTGGCCAGGTTCCTGCCCCCCGACGCTGGCCAGGCCCACCACTGTCTGGGGGAGGGGGGAACCGTGGGGGAAAGGAACCGCTTGCCCTGGAGCCTGACTTTGTGCCACGCCGGGTACTTTCTCAGCAAGTGTGTTTTTATTTCTTTAGATCATGCTCCAAGTTTGAATTCCTCTCTTTTCCCTGTCCTAGTGGGAGCTGTGAGGGGACTTCATGGCTGTTGGTGTGAGGCAGGCACAGCAGGGGTCTGAGTGCCCTTGGTGGCATCTGAAAGTGGAGGTGCCTGAGGTCCCTTCCTGCTCACCCTGCCGTGCAGCTTGAATCACCATGTGAAATTGATAAGTCATTTATAATTTATAATTTATTGATTGATGTTTTGAGACAGAGTTTCACTCTGTTGCCCGGGCTGGAGTGTAGTGGTGTCATCATAGCTCACTGCAGCCTCAGACTCCTGGGCTCAGGCAATCCTCCTGCTTCAGCCTCCCAAGTAACTGGGACTACAGGTGCATGCCAGCACGCCTGGCTAAATTTTCTATTTTTAGTAGAGACGGGGTCTCGCTCTTGCTCAGGCTGGTCTCAAACTCCTGATCTCAAACAATCCTCCTGCCTCAGCCTCCCAGGGTGCTGGGATTACAGGCATGAGCTGCTGTACCCAGCCTATAATTTATTGATAATATGGCCATGAGGGCTTCTTGTTAAGACAGTGGACTGAATCTGATTTTGCTCTTCCCCCACAAAAAAATATTTAAAAAAACTCCAACCCTCAAAAGCTGACCTAAACTATTTTTAGGAGATTTTTTTAAAAGGACAACAGCAACCACATCTGGAAGCTGGAAGCAGACAGCCCTGACCATGCTTTTCCATCCCCCATGGTTTGGATAGAGGTTGGGTCTCGTGTCTCCCCAAACCCTGGAACTGAGGTGGCAGCGGAGGGGATAAAAATAAGGGTCAAGTGGTTTTTGAGTAGTTATGTCCCTAGATGGCCCTTACCCCACACGCCTGGAGGGATCCACTCCCTGACACCCCAGCAAGACTCAGTCTCTGGAGAGGGTGGGTGAGGGTCTCTGCACAGGGGAGGCCAGGCCCACAAGCTCGGGGCACAGTCACTCCCCAGACCAGGCCCCCCACAGCACTGCTGCTGGGCAGGACCCTGACCTCCAGGCTGGGCCCTGGGTCAGGGTCTCCCTGGAAAGCCTCAGAGCCCAGAAGAGAAGAGAGAGGGACGCTGACATGGCTGGGAGACAGAATAGAGACATCCGGAAATGCACGGCTCACGGTTTTGCTCCCCGCACAGCCCCCCTCAAGCAGCTGCTGGGCTGCATGTCTGCAGCTTGGGTGGGGAATCGGGAAGGGTCCCCTGACTGGCGACAGGGGTCCAGGGCGGGGCAGATCCCAGGATGTCACTGAGCTCCAGCCCGGAGTGGGGGACGATTGTATGCTTTGTAGGTCTTGACTTGGTGGCGAAGTGACCCCTGGCCTTCTGTGTCCCCCCGGCTTGCGGCGCCTGCAGAAGCGCCTGTGCTGGCCTGGGCAGCTGCACTGGGTCGTGGTGAGCTTAGAAGCAGAAAACACGAAACAGCCCCGACCAGCTTCCTTCAGGCTCCTTTCCAGCCCTGCCTCACATGGCCCACGACGGGTCTTGGCCACTACTAGCGAGACTGAAGTCAGACCATGACCGTCCTGCAGTCCCTGCCTCCAGCTCTCTGTTATCACAGATCTGTAACCTGTACCAGATGCCACACACTTGCTAATAAATATGCCCGATAGATGCCACAATGGCGAGTTAAATAAATGAGTAAATAAATATAACTTAAAAAGAAAAAGAAACGAGATGGATATGGCCCTTGTTCTGTTTCTCTCTGTCCTTCACACCCAGGGTGGCCTCACAGGCTCCTCTGGGGGAGCACAGGAGCCTGGCCACCTGCTCCACCATCTGGGCTCTGGGCCTCGGTCTCTACACCTGTGAACGGGAGCCCCAGACACCTGTTCGGAAAGTGCATTAGCCACGTTTTCAGACTCTGCACTGGCTACTTGACATCTCTTATTCCTAATAACCTCTCCGTAAGGCTGCTGAGTCACAGGGCCAGATGGACGCCCAAAGTAGTTCATGTGTTTGCAGGTGTGTGAAAGTCACATTGTAATTCCCCAGCCACCGACCCTAACCTGCCAGTGTCCCCTTAGTCCCCAGGGGACGTCTCCACTTAGTTACTTCTTGCCACCATAGTCCTGAAGGCACAGTCCAGATAGTTCCTGTCTGCTTCCTGATCCCTGCAGGGGACAGGTTCGGGTGGCCCTGTGTGGCATGCTGTGCCTTTTGGTTCCAGGGTGAGTATTAAAAACCTTTTGAATGGCATTTGCCTGTCCATGTCATCACTCATAAATTAAGACCTGGCACAATACAGAGGGTTAAATGGTGCCTAGTCACTCTTTGAGGGGTGCCAGTGCATAGACCCACGGTAGGCCTTGGTGACTGCCACGTGGGTATTGAGTAGTCCACCCTGGGGCTGCCCTGGCCTAGTCGGTCTGAGTAAAAGCCTGCGGTCCCCAATCTCCTGGAGCTGCAATCAGTGGAGACTGTGGGCCAGCCTGGGGGCGGCTGCCTGGACTGGGGCAGGGCAGGGCAGTTCAAGTCCAAGCCTGTCAGTCTCCTTTGGGCAGGAACCCAGACGGGCAGCCAGGGGCTGAGTCATAGCCTGGGAATGCAGTAGACTCTCAGCCGGCCTTCCTGAGGCTGGGCACACCAGCATCGCTTGGATCCTGGGGCAGTCGCCTACATTCCCAAAACCCTTGCAGGACTGGCCCATTTGCCGGGAGGGGAGGCCCACCGTGGACTTGGCCATGTTCTCCAGGGCCAGCTTCATGAAGATTTTCTCCCAGCTCTCATCCAGGAAGTCACTGGCTCTAATGACGATTTCCAGGGCCTGGAACAGCCGGAACTTGTGCCGGGTGGAGATCTGTGAATGGCAGAGCGGACAGAGGCACAGGGCCATGTTGGTCTCATCGTGCAGGAGATGACGGGGACTAGTGCGTGCGGAGGCCAAAGGGAAAGGGTCAGAGGTGGCTGCTTTTGGCCATTCCCCCAGTGACCATTTAGTGAGTACCTACTATGTGCAGGTCCCAAACCAGGTGATGCAGAGAGAGAGGAATAAAAATTTGTCCCTATCCTCAGGGAACTACCATGGGATTTAAAGACATTCCATCTTCAAAGTCAGGTTGTTCATTCATTCATTCATTCATGCTTAGATCTTCCCCTCACTTGTCCATTATCCTTCCCTCCATCCCACCATCCATCTCTGCCACTTAGTGGTTCTGTGAATTTAGGCAAATCACTTCCTGTCCCTAAGCCTTCATTTCCTCATCTGTGAGGATCATAATATCGACCTCATTCCAAGGGTGGTCAACACATGTTGGTCTTCTGTTCTTCCCTACTCAGCCCATTCGATATATGAGGAAACTGAAACTTGCCCCAAATTATCTAGCTGTTCTATGTAAGATCCAGGATTTGAGCCCACCTTGGGGTCCAACCCTCCCCTCTGTTCCCCATGCCTGTCCCCAGTGGCCTGTGCAGCCCCTACCTCCGGGTTTTCTAAGAAGTAGTCATGGATGGTCTCCAACACCAGGTTGGGGGACACGTGAGCCATGTTCTTGATCTTCTTGAAGGTGTACTTCAGGTGGAAGGGATCGGAACCACTCATGTCTCGGAGCATCTTGAAGCAGATGGCTGCAGGCGGCAAGAAGGGTGTAGGGTGGGTGGGCCATGGAGGGTCACATTGTAGCTGCAGGGTTGGGTAGGCAGGGAAGGCAGGTCTGGGAATGGGAAGGAGTCATTTGAAGTGAGGACTGCACAACTGGACACATGGGAAGTCCTGGACCTCTTGACTGTCCAGAGAGCCCTTCGGGGTATGGATATGGAGCATGGGTGTGTGCAAGTCTGCAAATCTTCACTCACCCGGTGACAATCCATCCACTCACTGACCCAACTGCTTTTTCATCCATCCATTTATTTATTCATTCATCATCCACCTATCCATGTACCCATCTGCCCATACACCCACACATTCATTCATGTATCTGCCCCTCAACTCATTTATCCTATCCACTTGTTTTTCTATCTTGCCATTCATCTACTCACCCATACACCAAACATGGGTGTATTCATAAGTGTATCCATCTATCCATCCATCCACTCATGAATTCATCCATCCATCCATCTACCCTATTCATCCATATATAAATTAATCCATCCATCCATCCATCCACTCATCCATTCATCTGTCTGTCCATCTATCCATCCATCTATTCATACATTAATCCCTCCATCCAGTCATCCAACATTCAGTGGTGTCTGGATGAGGGAAAAGCATTCCAGGGAGGAGGCCAGGCCTAAGCTGAAGTTCTGAGTGTGAGAGGGTGTGGGAGGAGAGGGAGGGTTGGGTATTATTAGTTGGGGCATTTTTTTGGCTTTGGACGGTGCCCCAGGAGCCATGGAGAGGCCAAGGCAGGTGTGCTCGGCTCTCTGCTGAAAGCTTCAGTATGTCTACACCCCTTGACACCCTCAAGGTCCTGGAGACAAGACTCCCTCTACCTCTCACCCTCCAGGACTGCTTTGGGTGGAAGGACATGGTGGGGACTGCTAGAACCTGACTCCTTCTGGGGCCATCCTGCCCCTGCCCTGAGTCCCAGGGCTGGAGAGCACCTGAGTTGTAGGCTTCCTCCAAGAACATCTTGTGCTGCTGGGGCACCAGTGCGGCCTGGCTGCTCTGCGACTTGTGGAGCAGGATGGTGGTGGGGTGTGACTTTCTGTTCTTGCGGTCAGAATCCTGAGGTCCCTTTGTGTAAGGTGGGTCCTTCATGGATGCGGAGACATGGGGGGAGATTCTGAAATGGAAAAGGGGTACCGGGTGTATGCATCTGGGTGCACTTGTGTGTTCGTGGATTGAATGCAGGTGACACTGAGGACAGCATGGGTTTGGATCAGGTCCAGCAACCTCCATCCATTTGTCCATGCTTCCGGTCACTGGCCTGGCTGAGCCCTGGGAGGAGGCTGTGGTCTGAGGCCTTGGGCCACTATGGGCTCGTGGGGCCTGGCTTCCCAGCAAGTGCTGTGGGACAGACGTGGCTGTGGGACAGATGTGGCCGGGCTCAGGGTCTGGCACCCCAGCTCCAGCACTCGCACTGACTTGGATAGGCCAGGCCCTCAGGACCATGCCCTCAGGACCACACACGAGGCTGCCCTGGTGACCCAGACATCCCCGTGGGGTCTCTGAGGGCAGGGCAGGTGCCACAGGAGTGGGGGGGGGCAGAAGCAAGGAGGGATGTAGGCCCCTTCAACTGGGCCCCTTCCCTCCTCCTACAGGAAGGATTCCCTCAAACTGCGGGGCTTTGGGGACATACGGGGCTGAAAAAGGAGGCGTCCTTCCTTTTGCGGGTGCGGCTTGAGCCTGGCTTCCCAACTCCCGTCAGCGGTCCCATGCAGGGACACTTCCGCTGCATCCAGTTCCAGACTTTTTTGCTGGTTCACTCTGAGTTCCCACTTCCCAAGTACCTACCATGGGTGGGGCATGTTCTAGGTACCTGGGGTACACCCATGAGGAAGAAAAACAACAGCCAGAAAATTAAATAAGTAAATTCTGTGGTATGTTAGAAGGCAGTGCGTCTCTCAATACCTTATTCATTCATTTGTCCCACCTTGTAAGAGAGCGTGTCAGATCATGACACTCAGAAGCCCCCCGTGGGTCCCCGTTCCACTCAGAGTAGAACCCAAAGTCCTGAAAATGACTTAATGAGAGACTGTTGCTTCCACTCAAGATGCAGTAACAAGGACCAGGTTCACCCTCCTGCCTTAGCTCCAAAGTTGGGAAAAATATACGATGCCACGGTTCTCAGACACTAGGCAGCAGCAGCGCAGGGCAGCGATCCCTGAGAGATGGAAAACCAACAAGCCAAGCCCAAAACTGCCACAGATAGCTGCCTGGAAAGTTTCCAGTTTGCAGCACAGGAGACAGAACCCAAGAAAGCCCATTAGTCCCCTTGAGTTGAGGCAATGGAGGTGGAAGTTTGGGGAGGCCAAAGTGGCCAGAGTTTGCAGGGACAGGTCATAGGAGAGAGCTGCAGGTGGCGGGGACGGAGTTCTGGAGATTTGCAGAGGGTCTCCCTGCATCCCCAGACTTCATCCCTGTTCAGTGCATGTGGGAGAAGAACCACAATACCCCAAAGGGAGCAGAAGGGACAATCTTTTTGGAGCTCATACAGGCCTAGGAAAAGTTTCTTTTTCATCAGCCAGAGCAGAAAACCTTGTAATGCACAGGGCATTAGGTAGAGTACTCTGGTGTGACTTCAGTGATGCTTTGTCCCTCCCTACTGAAGCTTTAAAAGCAAGCCTCAAAAGGACCAAATTGTTTTCAAATAATTTAATTGTGTCCCAGAACAAAGCTCAAGAATATTAAAAAAGTATAGGAATATCCAGTACCCAATAAGGTAAATTTCACAGTGTCTAGCATCGAGTCAAAATGTATCAGGCATGCAAAGAAGCAAGAAAATATGACTCACATGGGCCGGGCGCGGTGGCTCATGCCTGTAATCCTAGCACTCTGGGAGGCCGAGGTGGGCGGATTGTTTGAGCTCAGGAGTTCGAGACCAGCCTGAGCAAGAGCAAGACCCCACCTCTATTAAAATTAGAAAGAAATTAATCGGCCAACTAAAAATATATAGAAAAAAATTAGCCGGGCATGGTGGCGCATGCCTGTAGTCCCAGCTACTCGGGAGGCTGAGGCAGTAGGATCGCTCGAGCCCAGGAGTTTGAGGTTGCTGTGAGCTAGGCTGATGCCACGGCACTCACTCTAGCCTGGGCAAAAGAGTGAGACTCTGTCTCAAAAAAAAAAAAAAAAAAGAAAATATGACTCACAACGAGGAGAAAATCAATTGACCAGAATGAACATAGACATGACAGCCTTAGAAGACAAGGACATTAAAATGGTCATGATAACTACATTCCATATGTTCAACATGGCAGAGTAAAACATAAGCATGTTAAGGAGAGACACAGAAAATATAAACAAGATAAAAAATACGTTTCAGATTAAGAACACAGCAGATTAGGCACCATAGCAGCAAAGATTAGTGAACCTGAAGACACAGCAGTAGAAACTATCCAAAAATGAAACACAAATAGAAAAAAGGGAAAAAGTGGAACAGAGCATCAGTGAGCTGTGGGACAACTTCAGGTGGCATTATGTATCTGTTGTTTGAGTCCCCACAGGAGAAGGAAGGAGGAAAGAAAAAATATTTGAAGAAATAATATCTGAATATTTTACAAATTCAATGAAAATTATACATCTACAGATCCAGGAAACTCAATGAATTCCAAGCAAAAAAATCATGCAGAAAACTACACCAAGTCAAATCAATACAAATGTACTATTCAGGCTAAAAAAAAAAGAAAAAAAAATTCTCTAAACCAATCACAAGAGCAAATCTTACAAAAAGCCAGGGAAAAAAGACATGTGAAAGGAATAACAAAATGAGAGCATAGTTCTTCCTGGAAACAATGCAAGCCAGAAGATAGTGGAGCAACATTTTAAAGCACTGAAAGAAAAAGCAAAAGAAAACAGCAACCTGATAAGCTAGAATTCTATAAGCCCCCAATCTTTAAAAACAGAAGGTGAAACAAAAACTTTTTTATACATACAATGGCCGTAAGAATGTATCACCAGAAGATCTGCACTGCAAAAAATGTTAGAGAAAATCTTTCAGACAGAAGGAAAATGATACCAGATGGACACTACACAAAAGAATGAAGAACATTGGAAATGGTAAAAATGTAGGTAAATAGAAATCAATGAAACTAACAGGTGGTTTTTTGAAAAGATGAATACATTGATAAATCACTAGCAGGATATATTAGGACAAAAAGAGAGAAGATACAAATTATTAACATCAAGAATAAGAGTGAGGACATCACTACAGATACTACAGACATTAAGAAGATAATAAAGGAATAATATTCATAACTTTATTAATAACTTTATTCAACTTAGATGAAATGGACAAATTCCTTAAAGTCATGGAATACCAAAGCTCACTCGAGAATTAAATAACAAGAATTGCCATATATCTATTGTAAAAATTGAATTCGTGGTTGTAAACACTCCCCCAAGGAAACTTTAGGTCCAGATGGTTTCACTCTTGAATTATACAAAGCATTTAAGGAAGAAATAATACCAACACTACAAAACTCTTCCAGAAAATTGAAGAGGAGGAAACACTTCTCAACCAATTCCATGAATCAAGCATTACCCTGATACCAAAACCAGACAAAAATATTGTAAATAAAGAAAACTACAGCTTAATATCCTCCATGAGCAGACACAAACTTTTTAAACAAAATAATCCAAAATATATAGAAACACTCATCCATGATTTTTAAGTGGGGCTTATCCTGGGAATGCAAGACTGGTGGGACATTTGAAAATCAATCAGTGTAATTCATCATATTGACAGACTAAGAAAGAAAATCATATAATTATCCCAATAGTTGCAGGGAAAGCATTTGACAAACTCAAACATCTATTCACAATAGAAACAGGGATTAAGGACTCTTCCTCAACTCAATAAAGAGCATCTACGAGAATCGTACAGCTAATATATCATACTTGCTAGTGAAAGATTCGATGTTTTCTTCCACATGATTGGGAATGAGGCAAGGATGTATGCTATTAACACTCTTACTCAACATTGTATTGTGGGCTTAGTCAAGGTGAAAAATCAAGAAAAAGAAATATTTGTAGAAGACATTTTTATCCAAGTAGAAAATTCCAAAGAATCTACACAAAAACTTTCTAGAACTAAAAAATGAGTTCAGCAAATTTGCAAATTATAAGGGCAGTATACAAAAATCATCATATTTCTATATACTAGCAATGAATAATTGGGAATTGAAATAAAAAATGTACCATGTGCATTAGCTAAAGATTGTGAGTTATTTTAGTATAAATATAACAAATAATTGTAAGGTCTATAAACTGTAAACTACAAATATTTATGAAAGAAATCGAAAAGACTTTAATAAGTAGAGAGATATACCATGTTCATGGACTGGAAGACTCAATATTGTTAAGATGTTAATTTTCTCCAAGTTTATCTAAATATTCAATGCAATTCCAATCAAATCCCTGGCAGAATTTTTTGTAGTAACCAACAAGCTGTTTCTAAAATTTATTGGGAAGGTAAAGGAACTAGGATAGCCAAAACGATTTTGAAGAAGAACAAAATTAGAGCACTGCTTTCAAGACCACTCCCAATTTCAAGACTTACTATAAAGCTAAAGTAATTAAGACAATGTGATACTGATGAAAACATATAAATATAAATATATGGAGTAGAACAGGGACTCCAGAAAAAGACCCATACATATGAGGCCAATTGATTTTTGATAATGATGTGAAAGCAATTCAATTGAAAAATCATTCAATGAATGGGGCTGCAATAGTTGAATATACAAATGCAAAAAATAGCCCCCAATCTATACCTCACATCATATACAAAAATTTACTCAAAATAGATCATAGACCTAAAGATAAAACCTAAACTTCTAAAACTTCTAGTAGAAAATATTGGGGGAAATCATCTGCCCAGCAATTGCATATTCAGCCTTAGACTGAGGCCACCCTTGTTATTGATCATTGTAGCTAAAATTACTGTTTCAAAACAATTTATGTAATCATCTTCATTTTGCCTTTAAAAACTTCCTTGAATACACACAGTTTACTATATGCACACGTATTCCCATTGTAATGCCCATTCCTGAATAAATACCATTTTTTAAAGAACGTCTCTCCCTGCCTTTTATTTAGGTTGACAGATATCTATAAAAAGTAAAAAGATAAGCTGCAGACTTGGAGGAAGTTTTGCGAATCACATATCTGATAAAGGACTATATCTAGACTATATAAAGAACTCTCACATCAAAGCAAAACAAAAGCACAAATAATGCAACAAAATACAGGCAAAAGATTTGAACAATCCACCAAAGGAGATGAACAGGTGGAAAATAAGCACATACAAAGTACTCTGTATTATTCCTCATGAGGGAAACAGATGAAAACCACAGTGGGTATGACTATACATCTACTAGAGTGGCTAAAATCAGAAACCCTGAAAACATCCAGTGCTCTCGTTTCCCACCACGTGAGGACACAGCAAGAAGGAGGCTGTCAGCAAGCCAGGAAGAGAGCCCTCGCCAGTAACTGATTTGCTGACGCCTTGATCTTGAACTTCCCAGCCTCCAGGACGATCAGAAATAAGTGTCTGCTGTTTAAGCCACCCAGTCTGTGGTATTTTGTTATGGCAGCCCATGCAGACTCATATAGTCCCTGAGGCTTACACAGTGCCCAGAGGAGAATCACTCCTTCTTGCCTTCATTCACTTGGTGAGTATTTATTAAGTGCCGGCTTCGTGCCAGGCACTGTTTTAGGGCCAGGGGGCTTGTTAGTTAGCAAAATATACAAAATATACAAAAATTCCTTCTTTTGAGGGGCTCACATATTGGGCAGGGGGAGAGACAAGGAAGCCCTGGACTGTCAGCTGGGGCCACAAGGTGGAGAAGTCAAGCAGGGACAGTGGTTCTCCACACCATACCCCAGACACGGACAGGTGGCATTTCAAAAGCCACGCAGCCACACCTCGGGAGGTAGGACGTTGTCAACCATGTCCCATTATCCCAGGTCAGCTCAGGCCCACCAGGGACTCCCCCAGGTCAGGAAGGTCTGGCCAAGAACATTCCATTTGGGTAAAGCCATCCCAATAGGTTCCAGTGTGTGTGTGTTGGATGACTGAATAAATGAATGAGAGATGAATGCATGAAGGCATCCTGAGAACAGTGCAGCTCATCCCAGCTGAACACAGCTTCCTGCGGACAGGGATAGAGCCTCGATTCTCACTGGTATTACCTCTGCTTGACCCCGCCTCATCATCACCTCCCATCATCTATGATGAGGACAGGGACAGGCTAGGACCTGGTCCTGCCTCCAGAGCCTGAATCCTGGAGGCCGTGTGTTCTGACATCTCTTGGGGCCAGGGCAGCTCTGGGGAGGCCCTCGAGGCCTGCTCTCTTGGCCTCTGCAAGGTCAATGCAAACTTTATCTCTCCTGGGAGGCTCCCTGTTCTTGTGGCCTCTCAGAAAACCAGCTACTTCCCTACTCTGGGACAGCCCGGCCTTCCAACCTGACCCTGGCAGGTGCCGACTCTGCCGGTTCCCCTGCTGGCCGGAGCCGGAGCAGGAGCCTGGTCTGCCCTGGGCACAGCTGAGGGCCACAGGCGCCAGCGAGGCCCCTACCTCGCCCACCCAAACCCATGTCACAGCCCCTGCAGCCTCCAAAGTCAAATGTATATTTAAAAATAGAGAAATGACGCGAACACACTATTAGCAAACATCTGTGGCGGGAAGCGCTTTCTCGGCTTAGAACCGCCACAAGCTGTGACAGAGGAGACAGGCCTGACAACACTCAGAGGGACTACAGCGCCGGGCCCAAAATAGCTGAGTTCATAGGCAGGTACCAAGATGTTCCCGCAACAGCCTGAGGCGACACGGATCACGACCGGGAATCCCCGGCTCCAGGGCTGGGCCAGCGCCTGGACAGCAGAGCCTGCTCTGCGGCTCCCGCGGAAGGGGAGCCCCCTGGGCTGGGGGTCAGAGGCCAGGCCTGCCTCTGACCGTCTGTCAGACACAGGAAGATGGAGCTGCCCTTTGTGCCTGCCGGGTCTCTGGGGACACTGGGGATGCCCAGGGGCCCGGAAGGTTGTAGAGGAACCTTCCTTTATTCACGTTTCCTCAAGTCTCTGCAGGAACACTGAATGTCGTATCATCTCCATCCTGCCAAGGAGAGCTGAGGCTCTGAGAAGCAGGTGGACAGTCTGTCCGTCCGTCCACGCACCGGTTTGCACAGCAGGTGTGCGGGCGCCCCCTGCACGCTCTACCTCCCGGCCTCCTCTCCACTGAGCAAGGGCTGCAGCGCGGTGAGGCCCACCCCATAGCCCTCCAAGGCTGCTCCCAGAGGCAGGACCCCTCCCTCCTCCACACAGGGCCTGGGGGCTCAGCCTTCAGAGGGTTCCTTGCTTCCCTGCAGAGAGATGGGGGGCCAGGGCCCCTGGGGGGAGAGGACAGGGTCCCCCAGGTGCTGCCGTCTTCCTTGCAGGGCTGAGCTGACCTGGGGTTGTCGGACAGGGCTGATGACGTCCTGCCTGCCGAGGCGCGGCTGTACGTGCTTTCAGGATGCTGCCTGTCCATGGTTGGGGTGCGGTGTGGAGGACCCACAGGCCCCCACTGACGGCTCTGGCCTGATGCCTGCAGACCAGCCCTATCTCTGGACGCTGCCCCTCCCCCGCTATGGCTGGCCCTGACCTCATCCTGAGGTCACAATGGTTCCAGTGCCCACAGCATCCTTTCCGAGGACAGTGTCTGTGTTCTGGGGATGGTGTGTGCCTGTGTGTGTCTGTCTGTGCATGCATGTGTGTGCTTGTGTCCTCAATGAGGCCTCGGCCTGTCCCTCCTTCTCTGAGCTTGTTGTCTCCCGTGAGATCTGTGGGTCCAGCTTGGGCCATTTGTTTGATGAACGCAGGTCCCTGTGCTGATGGCAGGCCCCAGGGGCTGGAGTTGTGACTTACTTCCAGGCCTGGGTCCGAGCACCTGTGATGCTCTGGGCTCCTCTCTGGGTGTTGTTGCCAGACGCCTCTGGGGCCCTCTCTGGCCACAAGAACGGGAGCAGGGACGGCCTTCAGGGCAGCACGTGGGGCTGGGCAGGCTGTCCGGAACCAAGTCCAGTCCTCCTCTACCGGCCTGGTGCAAGTGACTCACCTCTCTGTGCCTCGGTTTCCCCAGCTGTAAAATGGGAGCATTGCTGCCCCAGTTCCTGGGCTGCTCTGTGGGTTAGTGAGAGGACAGGGGTGAGGCCCCAACACAGTGCCTGGCAGGCCGGGGTGTCATTGTGATTCCAGTGCCAGAACTGTGGGCAAACTGGGTGGCATGTGCCCCAGCCCAGGGGCATCTCAAAATGATGACAGCAAGATGTCATCGCTGGCTGATGGTGCCAAGCATCTGGAGATGCAGCTTCAGTGCTCAGACTTGGGGTGCCCTAGGACTCACCCCCTGCCCCGCAGTGCAGGAAGCTCAACAGGGAGCCAGAGCTGCAGAGGTGGGGCGGGCAGGTCAGGGGCTGTCAGGCAAGGACCAGGAAGGGCTCGGTGTGCACAGGGAGCACGGGGCAGAGGTGAGGCTGTCTGTTTTTGCAGAGTAAATGAGAGCTGTGCCAGCAGGTGGGGTGGGGTGGGTTCCATGAGGATGGGAGGCAGGGAAAAGCCTGATCCCAGAAACGGAGATCATGGGATCCCATGCGTCCCTGGGTCCTGGCTGGGAACCGAATCCAACCAGACGACTCTGGGGACTGTATGGAGGGACATGGGCAGAGGTGTGGGCAGGGTTGGAGGAGGAGGAGGTGGCACCCAGGGACCAGTCCCAGGGGAGCTGTCACTGCCCTGGACCTGAAGGCGTGGCTGGAGCCCTGGCAGGGCAGCCACTGCTGGGGAGGGAGGGAGAAGAGCATCCAACTATCCCTCCTCGTGCCCTCCTTCCCCCTCCCATGCCTGTCCTGACTCCCAGTGGAGGAGTGTGTCTGTGTCTGCACCATAGGGACCGCTCAGGTGTGCAGAGATGGCGCAGGTGCCCTTGTGGGCACAAAGAGGAAAATCCCCAAGGAGAAGAAGTAGAGATGGTGTGGGAGGAGCCAGGAGAGAAAGGTCAGTGAGAAGGAGCAAAGGAGTGAGGAGGGCTGGTTGGAAATGGGGGGATTAGGGGGAGCTGCGGGGATGGGCTGGGCAGGCAGGGGTATGTGCAGGGCAGGAGTGTGTGCAGGGGCAGCTGTGTGTGCAGGGGCAGGTGTGTGTGCAGGGGCAAGGGTGTTGCAGGCGCAGGTATGTGTGCAAGGCAGGGGTATGTGTAGAGCAGGGGTGTGTGCAGGGCAGGTGTATGTGCAGAGGAGATGTGGCGGAGGAACCACAGGAAGCCAGGGTTTGCTTTTCTTATCCGTCTTGCCCTCAAGTGGCTGTGCCCGAGGGAAGAGCCCAGGCAGGAGTGGCTCTGTCCTCCATCCTCTGAGACAGACCTCTGGGGCTAGCCCCCTCCCTCTCCAGAATGGGTACAAATTGTCCTTGGAACCACCAGCCCTCCCAGCCACAGCCAGAGCTTGTCCTCTCGTGTGAATGCTGACCTGTGTATATTTTCCCAAACTTTCCTGGCATCACCCACAAGACTCTCACTGCAGAAAGAGGGGGAAGTCCCCAGGGAGTCCTGTGCAGGAGCCATGTGGAGCCCACCTGGGTTCTTGGAGCCCACCTGGGTTCTCACTCCCCAGTGTGGGGAGTGAGACGGGGTGCAAGCCCCTTGCACTGTTCCAGACGAGGTGCTGGTGAGGTACCAGGACCAGGAGAAACCTGCCCGTCTCCTTGGCCGCGTGGCCGGGGCTTTGGCAGGAGCAGCATTAAGGCAGCAGCTCCCACGAGGAAGGAGGCCCAGGTGCCCCAGTCCCACCTCCGCCCCGGCCTGCGTGTCTCAGGTGTGGTTCACCCTACAAGGTACCAGGACAGGTGTCTCCTCCCTTCCACCACCTGACAGCACCCTGAGGTGGGTGCAGGAGGCCCGCCCTGCCGATAGGAAGGCACAGGGCTTCATGATTCCTGCCCCACCCGTGGGCCATCCCCTCCCCTCAAGTGCGGGCCGGGCCTGGTGACTTGTAAATAAACCACGGCAGGTGTCACCCCTGAGATGAGGTTACAGAAGGGACTTCCGTCTTGATGGCATCCTTGCTTTATTGCCCACTTGGACACCCCATTGATGATATAAGCTGCCATGTCACACCTGGCAAGGGACCGCGGGTGGCTTTTGGCCAGTAGCCAGTGAAGAAATGAGGCCCTCAGTTCCCCAGCCTGAGAGAAACCATGAGAAGGAGCTTGGAAGCTGAGCCTCACAAGTCCAGCCCCAGCCAGACTGCAGCCTCGGGAGAGACTGAGGCAGAGGACTCCACTGAGCCACGCCTGGATTCCTGACCCAAGAAACCGAGATGCTAAATGGTGTTGTTTTAAGCTGCTAAGGTTTGGGGTCATTTGTTACACAGCAATAGATAACCAATACACACTCCTTGTCAGCGAAAAAGTGGCAGTTTCCACCGTGTGTGGACACAGCAAAAGACGGCCGTCTACGAACCAGGAGGAAGGCCCTCACCAGACACCGAACCTGCCAGCACCTTGACCTTGGACTTCCAGCCTCCAGAACTGTGTACAAATTTCTCTTATTTAAAAACGACCCTGGTCTATGGTATTGTTACAGTGGACCACGTCTGGAAACCCCTAACTCACGTTCTTCTATGCCCCCTGCACCATGAAGGGGATTGTTAACAACTGAGTCCATAACCCCATCATGAAGGAGGGTTGCTGGGCAGCCCGACCGCAAAGTGGCCAGAGCAGGCGTGTGGGAGTGCCTGGCTGGCTGCCGGAGACCCCTGGGTTCGCTGAGAGCTGTGTCCCGCACCTCCAGAGCATGCCCTGGCTGCCGCTTGGCTGAGTGGTGCTGGCCAGTGGCTGCCGAAGCAGCCCAAACAGCCTTCCAGACAGATTCCTAAATTTTCAGGAGGTTTGAAATACGGCCATAGAAACTTACAGTTCAATAGATTACATTCAAAACAAAGGTAATAAATACTGCAAATGCATCACTTCCTAATTATTTGGCTGTACTTTACCATGATCTATGCCTTTGAGAGGCATAGATCTACTGCATCTGTGTGGTGGAAAGACCACGTGATGGTGGCCACTGAGCAGCTCTTCCCGGCTCTGCATTCTGTGACATCTCGCTGGTGGCTTCAATCAGCTCTGGTGGCAGCATTTACACCACAGCAACTGGCAGTCTCTGCAAGTCAGTGGATAGTTGGTGGAGAACTGCTTACTGGTCATTTCGCCTCTGCTGGGAATGTGGCATCAGAATGGAGAGTGAGGCCTTGGGGTGAGAAGTGGGGTCCTGCAGGGCTGCCACAGCCCTTAGGACTCCAGGTAGGAGGCAGGAGCAGAGGCGGGAGGGGCGGCGGGACGCTGAGCGCCCAGAGTACGAGTATTTCACAGGCCCAGGCTGCAGACCTTCCCAAGACCTTCTGGGCCTTCCCCCCTCCCAGAATGTCTTAGACTGCGCATGCTGGGTTATGGTGAGGCAGACTTTCCCTAAGAGAACACATTTGAAGGTAAGGAGAGCCTTTCGGAAGGTCCTGGACAGCACGAGGTGGTGAGCGTTCTGTCTCTGCAGTGTTTGGGGGGGCAGGGCTGTATGGAGAGGAGGGATCTGAGCACCCCAAGGGGGCACCCCAGGGGACACAGGCCAGGGACACTTACTGAGACCTGGGATCTGACCCTGCACATACCCTACTCCTCATTGCATTTGGAAATGGTGGACATCAGGGTGGCAGGGCCCTGGCTGGGTCGTGCTGCGCACCTGTCTACCCCATGACCCTCCCCAGGAGCCAGGCAGCACCATCAACCCCGCTGGATGCAGGGTCCCCGCCTGGCAGCCACCTCCATCTCACAGCAGCCTGGGAGCCAGGTGTGCTCTCTACCCTGGGATTGGGATGAAGCTCAGAGAGGGCCAGGAATGGGATGGTGGTCACAGCAGTCAGTGGTGGAAACAGGTCTCAAATTCAGGCTCCCCAGGCCCAAGTCCAGGGTGCGGATGAGGCCCCTGGACCACTGGCACCCCCTTCTGGGGAACCCGTCTTGGTGGGGCCCGGCAGGCTCCTCCCTCCCCGCCGGCCTCAGTGTCCGCTTCCTGAGGCAGTGTCCGCTTCCTGAGGCAGTGTCCTGCCTCGCCCCCCGCCCCTCCCCGCCCCAGTCACGGCAGGGCCTCCCCGCGCAGCCGGCAGGTGGCGCTGTGGGCCCAGGCAGGGCTGGTGCGGGCGGGGCCGGCGGGGTGTGCTGCTCAGCCCGCGTCCCCTCCACCCAGGGGCGGGCGGAAGGGATGTCATCCCACTGCCTCAGGCCCTGGGTGGCCCTGAGGGGCGGACACTACCCATCAGGAGCAGAGGTTGTGCCAGAGCTCCAGCTGGTCCCCTTCTTGCTGAGGGCCACACAGAGAGGAGGGGGCCTGACCTAGGGCAGGGCAGCCCCCCGCCGCCGCCCAGGCCCCTTCTTTCTGCCCCTCCAGACTCCTCTGGGTTCCCAGGCTCCAGCTAGGTCACCCTCTGAGGCTTGGTTTGTGCA